AACGCTTGCAATAATTGGTATTGAGTGGTACAAAGTGTCTTGGCTATTCCGTATAAACCTGGATATGCACTTATTTTTTTGCACAAGTATGCAGGCGATGTTTTTTTTATTATGGAAGATTTAACTCATTGAATGATTCGACACTGTGTCCATTAAAAATAGGTTTGCAAGGTGGCTCCTATCCCTGGAGAGACCAAAGTCTGGCAATACATAACTCTCACAAAGCGGATCTTCCTGATTGACTGCCCTGGTGTTGTGTATCAAAGTAAAGATTCTGAAACAGATATTGTCTTGAAGGGCGTGGTATGTGATTCATGGCCATTTCATTGTATATATAATCCAGTTAATAAAACTTGAAAGAAACAGATGTTTATATAATTGGAATGGTTTTTATGAAAATCTGTCATGCTGGCTTATTGAACTTTACTTGGGTTGACTTGTATTCATTTTGTGTTGTGGTTTTATATCTTCAGGTACGTGTGACAAACCTGCAAGATGCTTCTGAGCATATTGGTGAAGTGCTGACCCGTGTGAAGAAGGAGCATCTTGAAAGAGCATATAAGATAAAGGAATGGTAATATTGCTCTCATGAGTGATTTCATTTTCTTGCTTGATTTAAAGAAGTTCTTCAAGATTTTTTTCTCAACTAATAAGTCAATAGTCTCACTAGATCGTAGGGTAAATTTCCTTTTCGTGATGGTTTGGTGGTGACCCCGGACTTCTTTTTTCATGTTGAAGCATTATTTATGTGCATTTGCCTCCATAAATGCACCCATTCTTGAAGCTGATTATCCCAATGATGTTTGTAGGAAAGATGAAAGTGACTTTCTTCTTCAGCTATGCCATGCAACAGGCAAACTCTTGAAGGTAAGTTCACATCGAATTGTTACTTGATGCTCTTGACTTAACAAACCCAAACAAGCACACAAGTGCACAGAAATGCTAATTAGCTTGTAGAATGCCCTCTAATGCAAGGGTGAATTTCAAGGAAGTGTGGCTTTGAGGAACATGATGACTGAAATAGGGTTATATGTCCCATGTTTTAACTGCTTAGGCTGTGCAAGGGGTAGGCACGACTCCAGTGCGTGACTGGAACTTTATGTTCTAGCGCACAAACCTTACAAACTACAATAAAGAATTAAAGCCTTAAATAAGTAATGCCAAACGGCCAGTACCAAAACCTTAGTGCACGGTTCCATTAAGTTTCTTGGTTTTCTGGATCCAAGTTGTGCCCACCCTAGTGTACATATCCTGCAGTAGTCTGTTTTACTTCCTCCATTGCTAAATAAACTCCAAACTTTTCTTTTTCATCCATCCCAAAATAATCTTCAACTCCCTAACAAGGAAAAGAACATGTGGTTTGAAACAATTCTTGTTCTTTTGCACAGGGAGGAGAACCAGATGTAATGACTGCTGCAAAGATGGTACTCCATGACTGGCAGAGAGGAAAGATACCCTTCTTTGTGGCACCCCCCAAAACAGAAAAAGCCGCAACAGAAGAGCAAAAGGATGGCGGCGAAGGAGAGGAAGAGGAGGCTAGAAGAGCAATTGCAGACGCACTGTTGTCATCTCAGCAGCTAACGGACATTCCTGTTCAGACAGGATTGTACAGCGAGAGTGAGTTGCGTGGTGACAGTAGCCCCAAGCTTCCTGAGAACGAATGACTTGTCCTCATCAAATTTTGTTGATGAGGTTTTGGAATTCCATTATGTCGTCGTCTATCTGCGAATCTTATTTATTTTTCTATACACCAGATATTCGGTTTATTTTTTTAGAACTTGGTGCATGTATAACAACCAGATGTGGTGTAATACCCCGAGTATTGAAACACGCATTAGTTGCCTCCGAGATGAGGTGGAATTCGCTATCGAGTGCAGTTATTTGTTATTCTATTGATGGATGCTACTGACACTATTGAGTTAGTATTTCAAATTTACTTCAATGTGTGTTAGTCATGCTCCAATCTTTCTTTAAAATTGTGCATGTCTTGTCTTTTTCTTTAAACTATCAACTTTTTTTTTAAATTTGAATTGGTAATAGTTTTACTGTTGCCAATTGGCGAACACGAGGATGGGTTAGGGGGGATGAACCATTTATGGAGTGCATCGTGGATATTCGATGTCGTAATATCATATCAAATGTTGATGTCAAAAGAATTGTGATGCTTCCATAAAGAGGTTATTCCCTAAAGAATACTCAAAAGTATAGACACTTTCTACATTTCTTGTAGTGTAAAATTGATTGAGGTGTTATATCCATTCCTATTTCGGCTAAATATACTCTTTTATGTTAAATGTACACTTTTTTCCTTAAAAATTGGTTTGCATTTAAATTTTCCCTTTAGTATTTTTAAGGGTAAAATTATCTACTTAACACAAATGAAGTGAATTTAGTTAAAATGAGGGTGGATATATCAACTCTCCTATTCACGACCTTGAAATAAATTTATGATTTATTTTTATGTTTTTTTAAAAATGTTATACGAGTATTAAAAAATAAAAATGTTTAGCTTGAAATGTGTAGACATGCAAGAATATTCGCAAATCATATGTTTCATTTCTTAATAATTTAAAAGAAAAGCGTGAAGTTTATTTTGAGACAACATAAACGAAAAAATGTGAAGCTTTTTTTGAGACTACAACATTATATCTTCATATTAGACTATGTACTGACCTTGTGCTAAATCAACGAACTTGGAGACACATGATGTTCGAGTTGGATATGAATTTCGACACGAATATTTTAATCCCTCCCTTTTATATCCAAACTATACAATTTACAATTACATCATAATCATTTTATATATTGTATGTTTTTTTACACATATCTAGGAAATTGATGTAAGCGCACTTGATAGTTGCATGATACTCTTTTTGTTAAAAGAATTTTTTAATTTTATTGCGAACACTTTCATTTGTGAAAATATAAAAAATGAGAAGAACACATTTATTTAAGGATGACAACGGGTCGGATTTTAGTTGGATGGAGCTTCACCCTCATCTATCTTTTAAGTACACATTTATCATTCGATCCACCATCATCCGTTACACATATCACACTTATCATTCGATCTACCCACACTTGCAGTTGAAAACAAAAACTATTAATAATGGTTTTTTAATCATTAATTTCATAAATCATAGAATGCCGAAATAAAAATATGAAGCACAAACAAAAAGCGCCTTAAAAAAGAGCTTAGTGATAATGTTGGTATTTAAGATAGAATCTCACAAATAAACAAACTTTTAAGATCCAAACCAATAAACCTTCTAAACATTACATTTAGAATGCATGAAATGGAACGGAGGGCTTCCTTGGAATGAATTTGACCTAATTATGATTTTAGGGCTTCCTTGGAATGAATTCGACCTAGTTATGATTTCAATTTTAATGTACTTTTTAAAATAAACATGAATGAATAGTGGCTGGGTAATGTGTGAGAAAAGTTTTCACCCAAAACTTACCTGATCCGTTATCAACTTGTCCATCATAATTTTCTTTTTTGCAATAATATCCATTAAATCGGGTTGAATGATTCGACAATCTAATAGATCATGCAGAATTGTTCTCCGATCCCTACATTTAATTTTTTTACATATACAATAATCAAATTAACAACATACATATTTTTATAGTGACACAGTTCTAGTAAAACTCGTTACTGTTGACACTGTGGTACCACCACTATTTTGAGGTACTTACGATTCTTCATTCGCGAAATTGATAATTGCTACGGAGTACTTCTTTAAACTCTCTCCCCACCCTTACCCTGGCTCTCAGTCCCATCACTCCTCTACCTCCCTTGGATAATCAATTGGCTAAATGAATTCCCGCAGTCAATCAGTGATAGTCGATCTAGGGCGTGGAAGCAGAGACGGGAAATAGGGGTAGGGGTTAGAAAGGCAGTTGGCTTTGTTTCGTACAATTTATTTTCCAACTTATTACTTATTCATATTAAAATCAGATCAGATCATAAATAACTTTAAATAATATTATAATCAAACCAGATTTAATCTGATACAATATATTCAAATATTCAAAAAATCAAATCAACCATCTCATCCTCAACCTAAGGTGTCAGAGCCTCAAAGGGATCCGCAAGCTTATAAGTTACTCCCTTGTAGATAAGAGTAAGGGGGTGTTTGTTTTTTCTGCAGGAAAAGGTCTACAGTCTGCGGACCACTACTGTAGACATCTGCAGGAGAAGTGGTGAACCGAAGGTCTGCGGTCTTCAAGAAGAAGACTGTTTGTTTTTTAATATCTGTAGATTGCTATATAAATTAATGGTAGTAGTGTACGATGGTGGTGTATGGACGATTGTGGTGGTGGTGGAGGGTGGTGGTGAAGGGTGGTGGTG